GTTTATGCCAAGACTGCACTGTTTAAGGGCCTCTCAGAGAATGTCCTAGGTTAGAACATAAGCAACTAAAAGAGCAGCTAAAGGCACTGGCACAAAGGTATAGCCTGACCTTGGGAAAGAACTGAGCCAAGAGACTGAAGAGCATCTCTGCTCGTTCCCCTGTTTTCCACAAAGATGAGAAGTTTGGAGGATCTGATTGTTTTCTTAAAATATAAAAAGTCTTGTGACTTCTTGAAAAGCAAAATTAGAAGACATTTTCGTATGATAAGAACAACTAGTTGTAAAGACTGTAAGAGGGTTGGAATAGGTGCTCTTTTCAGTTCCATAGCTCTGTGATCAAACTTAGAACCACCTTGTGCTTAATAAATACGATTTAAAAAACTTAAATATTTTCCTGGTGATATGACCACAGTGAATACTTAAGAGAATTACAGCTCAGGGTTGACCTTCACCTTCCTTAAATTTACATGAATTACTGAACAATTCATTTATTTAACAAAGAATAACAACTACTTTGAATAGAACCATGTTCTCCAGACTTGAGCTCACATTTTAATGATGAAATAAGGCCTCACTTACTGCTAGAAATCCAGTGAAAGGCTGTAGGAGTGCAGACCTATAATCTTCTGGAGATTCAGAGACTAGATCTGGCTGCAGCCAGTCAGAGTTGGTGGATCAATGAAATGCATGTGATAAATTCAGCCGCTGCCACTGTCATCCTGCAGAGCCAGGATGTACAGAGCAATGAAAAAGCCAGTACAGGGGATTACTCAGAGCTTCGTGCAGAAACCCGGATTGGACCATCAGTTATCAAGGCGCCTTCAGGCTGCCATCAGCTCCTCCTATGCTTCCAGTCCCTCGGGGCAAACACCAAGGCTCTTAGTCCATGAGTGTACGATTCTGTTCTTAGGGCTTTCTGTCACTCAACCTGAGGATGTAAAAGCTTACTGGTTTTTTCTTGGGGGAAGCTATTAATTGGAGGACGTGTTGCTACTACCCATTATGCCAGCTCAACAAGAGGAATTTATCCTTAGAGGCTCAGACATGTTATGATAAATTTGAAAAGAAACACTCCCAAATTATACTTTCAAAGAAGCGTTTCCTTCTGCCAGAACTAGAGGAGTAAACAGGTAGTGGGTTGTGATAAAACCAGATTCCGTGCAAGGAGGTTAAAGGACCGCAGCAGTCTATCTCCGGCAGACAAGTTGTGCCCTCATTGTCCCTCTGAATGAACAGCCTCTTGATTGATCTTTGCCTTTGCCAGGGTAGTGGCTGCTTTGTGTCACAAGCTCTTTCTTGTAGCAGTCTGGTGAAGCCCCTGTCTCCGTTCACAGAGCACTGTTTTTAAATGCATAAATATATAGCCAACACTTTTATACAAATGAAATAAAATATTTTTTAAAGCTGGTGTAGCTTAGCTATACCTACAGTATGTTCCCCATATGTGTGCAAGACCTTGGGTTTGGTCTCCCACACTGCAACGACAAAAAAATGTGGTCTAGTAATATATATGGTTTTGAAGTTATTATTAGTCCAGAGAGTGGAGATCTTTTTTAAAATCTTACTCGCAGAGTTACACTCTATGTAAAATTATCAAGCATCCCTAATCACAAAAGCCAGAAACTAAAATGCTCTGAAATTTGAACATGTGCTTAGTCTCAGATTTTTATTTATTTTTTTTGGTCTTTTTGAGACAGGGTCTCCCTGTAGCCCCAGCTGACCTGGAACTTGCTATGTATGTAGACCAGACTGGCCTTGAACTCACAGAGATCCCCCTGCCTCTGCCTCCCAAGTGCTGGGATTAAAGGCGTGTGCCACCATGCCCCACTTGTCTCAGATTTTTCAAAAAACTTTTATTTTTCTTTTCTTTTTGTGTGTGTGTAGCTCAGATGACAACCTGAGGGCATCTGTCCTCTCCTTCCATTATATGGGTTCCAGGACTCAAATTCAGGTTGACAGGCCTGGCAGCAGTTGCCTTCACAGGCTAACCCATCTCAATAGCCCTCCAACAGTCTCTCTTTAGTTGGAACATTATGGATTTCAGATTTTGGGGTTCAAAATCCTCCAAACCCCCAAGATCTAAAGCACTTCTGGTCCCAAACGTTTCAGATAAGGAATTACTTAGCTTCAGTGTCAGACTGTTAGTAATTTTTTTGTTTTGTTTTTCTTTCTTTTTGATGCTAAGGACTGAGCCTAGGGCCTCCTGCATAGTAGGCACACAATTAAGACACACTCCCAGCCCTAGACTGTTCTTTGAAAATCCAATCTGTCCTTTTTCTGGGTGCATGGCTGCTGAACTAGAGGCTTTATTTGTTCTAGGTTTGGTGTGAGCTTCTCTTCTGACTTTTTTCCTCCTCCTTTTTTTTTTCTTTTAAAGATTTATGCATCTGGAAAATTCTATTTGGTGTGGATTAATTTCCATGCTACCAGATAAGAGTGAGTCAGGGGCTATAGACTCCAGCAACAGTTCTGCACAATGGCTTTTGCCTCCCTCATTCCAGGCTTGGGTCACTCTGAACAACCCTCCCCATTGTCCTGCTTAGTAAGAAGAGGCTGGAAATGGTCTGCTGCTGCACACTTGCCAAGGACCAGCATTCTCAAGAATGGGAGGCCCTGTGGGATAATGGGATAAGATTTGAAACTGAACCAGGCCAGGTCTAAATGCTGAACCCACAGCACAGCTTTGTCTTGAGGGTAAACCATAAGAAAGGGTGGTCTCTGGTGTTCTGCAGATGCTCCAATCCAGCACACTTTGGTGTTTCCCATAGCCTCAAACTCTGTGGATGGGGTCTCTTCCCCTCTCAGCCAAGCCAGGAGCCTGGTTTAGGCCTAAAATTTGTTCCTTAAGGACTGAATTCTCAACAACAGTAAGATTAGTAATCGTCAGGAGCCGGATTTGGGGGAGGAAAAGGGCACTGACTGCTTAAGGTTGTGGGGTTTTTTTTGTTTTTTTTTTTTTTTTGGTCTTTTTGAGACAGGGTCTCCCTGTAGCCCCAGCTGTCCTGGCACTCACTATGTAGACCAGGCTGGCCTTGAACTCACAGAGATCCACCTGCCTCTGTCTCCCGATTGCTGGGATTAAAGGTGTGCATCACCATGCCCGGCTCGCTCTTTCTTTTTTATTATTTTATATGTTTGCCTGCATTGCCTGCATGTAGGTAAGTGTACCTGTGCCGTGCTCACAGAGGACAGAAGAGGTTATAGGATCCCTTGGAACTGGAGTTATGGACAGCTGTTGGCTGCCATGTGGGTTCTGGGATTTGAACAGTGTTCTTAACCTCTGAGCCATCTCTCCAGCCCTCTTTTTCTTTTTTTAAAAAAAATTTTAAATTATTTTTATTTTATGTGTTATGAGTGTATTGCCTGTATGTAAGTAAGTGCACTTGTGTTGTGCAATGCCTGTGAGGACAGAAGAGGCCGTTGGATCCCCTGGAGCTGGAGTTACAGACAGTTGTTAGCTGCCGTGTGGGTGCTGGGATTCAAACCCCAGTCTTCTGCAAGAACAACCAGTGTTCTTAACTCTCAGCCATCTCTCCAGCCCTCTTTTTCTTTTTTTAAATGTATTTGATTTTTATTTATGTGTATGCATGTTCTGCATTCATGTATGTAAATGCACCCTTTTCATACAATGCCTGCAGGGGCTAGAAGAGGGCATCAGGTCTCCTAAACTTGAATTATGGACAGTTGTCAGCCACCAAGTGGTCTAACACCCGGTTGAATCTGGGTCCTCTGCAAGAGCAGCCAGTGTTCTTATCCTTTGAGCCATCTCTCCATCCTTAAGTTACGTTCCTTGTACAGCCAGGCCTACCTGCCTAAGGATGGTACCTCCCACAGTGGACTGGCATCTCTTAGATCAATTAGCAATCAAGAAAATACCCCATAGACATTTTTACAAGCCAAATCTGATGGAGGTAATGCCTCAGTTGAGATTCCCTATTCCCAAGTAACGCTAGGCTTTTGTCAACTTGACAGCAGAAGTTAACTAGTATACTATACAAGTATATGAATATGAATAGACTTTTTAATCCATTACATTATTCTGTACTTTAAATTTTTTTTATTTATTTTTATGTGTTTGAGTGTTGTCCCTGCATGTGTGTAAGTGCACCTGTGTGGTACAATGTCCATGAAGGACAGAAGAGGGTGTTGGATCTCCTGGAACTGGAGCAATGGACAGTTGTTAGCTGCCATGTGGGGATTCCCATGCTGGGATTCCAACCGGGGTCTTCTGCAAGAAAAGCCAGCTCTTAACCATGGAGTCATTTCTACAGTCCCTATTCTGTATTTTTAATTTTTTAAAAAATTATTTTTAGCTGGGTGTGGTGGTGCAGGCCTTTAATCCCAGCACTCAGGAGGCAGAGGTAGGTGGATTTCTATGAGTTCAAGGCCAGCCTGGTCTACATAGTGAGTTCCAGGCCAGCTGGGAGTACAGGGAGACCCTGTCTCAAAATCAAACAACAACAAAAAAATTCTTAATTTATGTGTACGAGTGTTTTGCGAGCATATTTATTTGTAAGCGCACACTTGTCACACAATGCCCATAGAGGTCAGAAGACAGTGTGGGATCTCCTGGAACTGGAGGTATGGGCAGTTGTTAGCTGCCCTTTGGGGGTTGGGAACTGAACCCAGGTCCTCTACAAGAGTAGTCAGTGCTCTTAACTGCTAAGCCATCTCTCCAGTCCCACATTTTGTACTTTTATTTTTTTGGTCTTTTTGAGATAAGGTCTCCCTGTAGCTCCAGCTGGCCTAGAACTTGCTATGTAGACCAGTCTGGCCTTGATCTCACAGAAATTTACCCACTTCTGTCTCCCGAGTGCTGAGATTAAAGGTGTGCTCCACCAGGCCTGGCTTATCCTGTACTTTTAAAGGGTAGTTTAATGGTAATGTATTATAGTTGGCAGAAAAGCAGAAAAGGAGGAGTAACTCTTCACTTGGCTGTTATGGTTTAGAACGTGGAAATTACAATCTCCTATAGTGTCAACCAAACACTAGGGTCTTACCTCAGTTCCTGTTTCTCTCCAATCCCAAGCCCGGCTGCCTCCTGGCCATACCTTGCAATCCTTATAGGTTACAGTAGAGCCCTGCACTTTCATTTGTCCCCATGAGAGGGAAGCAATTTTAGGGGATGTCATAAGGAACAGAGCTGAAATCTGAAATTAAAAGAAAAAGCATGGTAAATCAGTTACTAAGTAAGGCTGAAAGAGTTTCAAAATTCAGAGATAGAAGCCCCAATTTTCCAGGGCATAAAAGTATCTTTCTCTAACAAATTCTTGCCTCATAGTGTAATTAGCTTTCATTAAACACTTCTCTAAAAAATAGCCATTATTCTTGGATTCCTGAATCATCCAAACTTGGAAACCACATACAATTGCTTCTCAGACTCTAGAGGAAATCCTCAGTATATATTTTTGAGGGATGGAATTCAAAGGTAGAGCCTGGCATGGTGGCACACGCCTTTAATCCCAGCACTTGGGAGGCAGAGGCAGGCAGATCTCTGTGAGATCAAGTCCAGCCTGGTCTACAAAGCAAATTCCAGGTCAGCTGGGACTACAGGGAGACCCTGCCTCTAACCCCCAAAAAGGGGGAGCTATATTTCAGCTTGATGGAGTAAGAAGGCTGACATGTCCTCTCCCTGAATGTAAATACATAGCTGAAAACAAAGAGAAAACCAACCCTAGTAAAAATTATTCAACTGTCACTAAAGACACCTACCATCAAAACTGACAACCCGAGTTCAATCTCTGGAGCCTACATGATAGGAGGAGAAACCAACTCCTGCAAGTTGTCTTCTGACATGCATGCATGTACCCTGGCTCTCTTGTGAGCACACACACATAGATAAAATAAATAAATAAAAATAAATAAATGCAAAAGAAAACCAATACCTTGCTTTTAAAAAACAAAACAAGAGCTGGAGAGATGACTCAGCCATTAAAGATGATTGGCTACTCTTGTAGAAGGACTGAGCTTGATTCTCACCCAGCGCCTACAAAGTTAGCTAACGACTGTCAGTAACTCCAGTTCCAGGGAATTCAACACCCTCTTCTGGGCTCCACTGGCAATGCATGCACATGGTGGACTTATATACATGCAGGCAAAACACTCAAACAAAAACAAAGATTAAATAGAAAAAATAATAATAAAAATAAAAATCCCACAAAACAAACAGCTCTGTGTGGTAGCACATGCCTTTAATCCCAGTACTAAGGATGAAGAGGAAGGAGGATGTCTGTGTATCAGGCCAGCAGTGATACACAGTGAGACTCTGTCTCAAAAGAAACAAACTCTAGAAATAAAAGATTTACTATAAACTTTCAAGTGATAATTCATGCAAAACACTGGATTTCAGGTAGGTAGGGATATAAAAATGCACAGCAGAAGCGATTATTAAGGAAATAATGTAATTTAATGAATGTAAGATAACTCAAGACTCATAGTCTCAGTAAGGAGACATTCCAACGAAGTATCAAGTGGACGTTCTAGCATTGTTGTTACTGTTTTTGTCAGTGAAGCAGTATTGGGGAAGTGAGGCCTTTAAAAGGGGTTAACGATGGGCTGGGCTAGTGTGACGGCTGAGGATAAAAGCAACAGCGGCTCAAACCTGAGGAGCTGAGTTTGATCCCTGAAAGCCATGGAGGAATAGACTCCTGAAAGTTGTTAAGTTGTTCTCTGACTTTGACCACGGTCTCTCTCTCTCTCTCTCTCTCTCTCTCTCTCTCTCTCTCTCTCTCCTAGAAGAATCTATGCCTCTGCACTCAGTGTGTAGAGAATGTCTCCATCAAAAGATGACCAGACAGAGGATTAACCTGCTTTAAAAGCTAAAAGTCACTGTCTCTCTCTCTCTCGCCCAGTGGGTAAAGGTACTGTGTGACAACCTGAGTTCCATCCCTGGGACCCACATGTAGAAGGAGAGAACCTACTCCTGAAAGTTGTCCTCTGACCTCCACACAAGTGCTGTAGCATGCATTCACCCAACCCACACAAATAAATAAATGAAGGTCATTAAAAAAAATTTAAAATTGAGGCTGGAGAGATGGTTCAGTGGTTAAGAGGGGTAAAGGTACTGTGTGACAACCTGAGTTCCATCCCTGGGACCCACATGTAGAAGGAGAGAACCTACTCCTGAAAGTTGTCCTCTGACCTCCACACAAGTGCTGTAGCATGCATTCACCCAACCCACACAAATAAATAAATGAAGGTCATTAAAAAAAATTTAAAATTGAGGCTGGAGAGATGGTTCAGTGGTTAAGAGCACCAGTTTTTCTTGCAGAAGACCTGGGTTCAAATCCCAGCACCCACATGATAGCTAACAACCACCTGTAATTCTGGTTCCAGGGGGATTTGATGCCCTCTTCTGTCCCTCATGGGCACTGCATGATACGGGTGCACTTACATACATATGGGCATAACATACACATAAAATACTCATACACATAAAATAAAAATAAAATTAAAATTATAAAACTTTTTAAAAGGGAGATAATGTCTTTGTTATGAGATTAAGTTTTTATCAGTGCAGGTTGCTATATAGTAGGCGAGCTTTGGTCCCTCCTTGTTTTGCACATACTAGACTAATTCTGCTTTTCTACCATTTGTAGAGTATCATGGGACCCTCACCAAGGACTGACCAGTTGCCAACACCATCCTTTTGGACTTCCAGAACCATGAACCCAAGTAAACTTCTTTTAAAAAAACCCCAAAAAACCTGTATTTATGCCTCTGTGTGTGTGTACATGCAAGTGCCATGCCAGGGGTGTAGAAGTCAGAGGAGGGGCTTGAGAGTGCTCAGCAGTCAAGAGCACTGGCTGTTTTTGCAGAAGACCTGGGTTTGGGTCCTAGGACCCACATGGTGGCTAATAACTGCCCATAACTCCAGTTCCAAGGGATTCAGTGGCATCTTTTAACCTCTGTGGGCATTGCACAACATGGGTGTATGTATATACATGCAGGTAATGCACTCATACACATAAAAAATAATAAGTAAAAAAATTTGTTTTTGGTCTTTTTGAGACAGGGTCTTCCTGTAGCTCCAGCTGTTCTAGAACTCACTATGTAGACCAGGCTGGCCTTGAACTCACAGAGATCCACATGCCTCTGCATCCTAAGTGCTGGGATTAAAGTCATGCGCCACCATGCTTGGCTAATAAATAAAATATTTTTTAAGAGAAGTCAGAGGACAACTTGTGGGAGTTACTTCTCTCCTACCATGCAGGTGCCAGAGATTGATCTCAGGTCATCGGGCTTGGTGGCAAGTACCTTTGCCTGCTGAGCGATCTTGCCAGCCTCTAAGTAAACTTCTTTATAATAGGGCTTTGTAATAGGGTTCTCCAGAAAACAGAAGCAATTTATTATATATACTGAAAACGTTTTTCAAAAACATTATTTTTATTTTATGTGTATGAGTGTTATGTCTGCATGTATGTAAGTGCACCTGTGCAGTGCAATGCCCATGGAGGTCAGAAAAGGGTGTCGGATCCCCTGGAACTGGAGTTATGAATAGTTGTTAGCTGCCATGTGGGTGCTGGGAACCCAATCCAGGTCCTCTGCAAGAGCAGCCAGTGCTCTTAGCCACAGAGACACCTCTCCAGCCCCAGTCCATTCATTTTTTAACCCCCTAGTGGAAATATGTTAAGAAATATGTTTGGGGCTAGGCGTGGTGGCGCATGCCTTTAGTCCCAGCACTCAGAGGCAGGTAGATCTCTGTGAGTTCAAGGCCAGCCTTGTCTACATAGTG